CAGCTTGCTGCTGCTGCTGCTGCAGCGGGTCGTTGGGGAAGGAGGGAAGCAGCAGCCTCGACGTGTGAGCTGCTGCGCGCTGCCGCCGCCTTTGCTGCTGCAGGTGTTGCTGCTGCTGCTTCACCAGCAGCTGGTGCTGCTGCTGCAGCAGTTTCTCCTGCCGCAGCAGCTGCTGCAGATCCAGCTGCTGCTCCCCCTGCTGCTGCTGCTGCTGCAGCGGGTCTTCGTTTTCAGAGCTTGGGCTCTGCCTGATAGGGTATAGATACGTCAGGGGGGCCCCCCCGAGGGGCCCCCCTTCCTCCTGGGAGGGTACAGGGGCCCCCAGGGGCCCCCGGGGCCCCAGGGGCGGTGCTGCCCTGGGCATGCTGGGATTTGGGTGCTACCGCGGCGCTGCGCTGCTGCTGCTGCTTCTCTGCTGCAGCAAACGGCGAAAGAACATTAAAACTAAACAAAAATAATGTAATTTTAGTTTAATTGTTTCTTTTTTTCGCTTTTTCCGCTGCAGAACCCAGCGGGGGGCGGCCAGCGGGTGGTGCGCTGGGGCTGGGGGGGCCCCCAGCAGTACCCTCTTTAGGGGCCCTCTGGGGGCCCCCCGAGACCCTTTGGGGGCCCCTGGGGACTTTTGGGGGCCCCCTGAAGACTTCTAATTGCTGTTTTAAATAAAATGTTTTCAATTTGAATTGGATTTGCATTGGTGGCCTTGAAATGGTTCTATTGTGCAAGAAACACGGAGCCAGCCAAACCCTAAACCCTAAACCCTAAACCACAGACCCCAAACTGTAGAGAATAAGATTTATAACTTGTTTACGAAGCGCAGCAGCAAAGAGAGACCCTCCCATGGTCCAGAGCTCGGACCCGCTGCTGCGGCCCGCTGCTCAGGACTTAGGGTTTAGGGTTTAGGGTTTAGGGTTTAGGGTTTGCGGATTGAGTCAGATGCTGCATGGATTTGCAGCCAGCAAGGGGCCCCTTCTGCTAAGGGGCCCCCTTGCGGCTGCTGCGCTGCACAAAAAGCTGCCGCAGCTGCCAATAGGGTGCTACC